GCAGAATAAACAGTTTAACCGTGCAAGTTGGATTGTTTTATATTTGTGACCCAATGTTGGACATTCTGTTCTTTCATTATCATGGGCTTTTCTCAGGAATAAACCAAAAGTTGTGATTTTGTGTGTGTGTGTCAAATGTCAGATCTGAAGGCTTTTGAATAAAGAAGCCACAACTCGAAAGAATGTTCCTTCTTGTACTGATTGAGTAATTGTGGTCACTTTCACACTGTCCTTATGTCAGATCCTGAGGTTGGAACTCTAATGGCCTAATAATTTTTTAGAATATGAGACTAGGAACAGCTGCCAATATAAACCATCATTTTCCTTTCATCTAAGTACATCTGAACTTTTTTGAAAGTGGTATATTATTTGGTTACTTTTCCAATTTTTTAAACTGATTTTTTAACAGATAATAAAAGTAATTTCTCGACATACTGCTTTCTCTGATTAACCTTCAAAAGGTCATGTCTTACATCTTTAAATTACGAGCAAATTTGGAAAATGGTACCTTTTTAAAAAGCAAATGTAATTTCACTTCTAGTTTGATAACATTGATAAAATATGGTTGACTTAGACTTTTCACTGTGTGGAGTGTGGAGAAAGGATCAGATGTAATTCTGTGACCCGTCCTGTTAGAAACGCTTTCAGCTAGAGTCCCGTAAGGCTCAATTCTCAGCTGCCCCCTCACCCCCAAGTTCTCACCGGCCCCCTTGGCCTCCTCCCCCTCTGCCTGCTCTTCCGTGGGCTGTCAGCCATGATTCAGATTCTTAAACCTCTTCGCTTTCGACTTACTTCCCCAAGGAAGTGTCCTATTTGCACCTAGTCTGAGACCCCTCTCCGCTGCTCAGAACCCCCTCCCACTGTGACTGGTCCTCTGTGAAGTCCCACCAGCACCTTAAACTCAACTTGTCAAAAACCAGCCTGCCTCCACTGCTCTGGCTCCTTGTCCCTCCAGTAGTCCGCGGTGTCTATTCTGTGGTCGTCCAGTGTCAAAGCCTTGTGGTATCTCGGAGTCCCTCTTTCCCTGACGCCCCATTCATGATTCTGCCACCGCCACCCCCAGCCCTCCTCCAAGCCCTCCTGTCCCATCTGGCCTGTGCTTTTGCAGCAGCCTCCTTACTTGAGCCCTGGCTTCACTCTGCAGAGTTAGTCGCTCACAATTCAAGGGAAAAAATACCGCGGCATGAACAGGGCCAAATACTGCCACAGGATGGGGAAGAAAACTGGCTTCCGGCTTGGCCATTTGGGAGGGAACAAGTGACTGATGAAAATGGACTCGGGAGCGTGGAGGAGACAGCTGGCCGGTGTGACGGGGATGCCCAGAGGGTAGAGAGGAGGACAGGGGACGCTGCGTGTGGCTGCTCCCAGGGTCCGCTGCCACACGAGGCGGAGGGAGACGAGGCAGGGAGCAATGTTTTGTTTAAGACAACAGAGGTGCACATCTCCTTTATTTCTTCTATGAAATAAAAATAAAAACTCGGGGCACCTGGGTGGCTCAGTCGGTTGAGTGCCAGACTCTTGGTTTCAGCTCAGGTCATGATCTCAGGGTCGTCGGGCTCCGTGGTCTGCGGGGAGTCTGCTTGAGGATTCTCTCTCCCTCTCCCTCTGCCCCTCACCTCCCCCGCCCCCATGCATGTGCATGAGCGCGTGCTCTCGCTCTCTCTCAAATAAATAAATAAATAAATCTTTAAAAAAATAGAATAAAGATAAAAATTAAAACTAAAAAAAGTACAGGAAGTGGTATATTTTTTATTGTGGCAGAAAGCAGACGATATTATCACAAGTAACAACAATGTCATATATATACATATATAATATATGTCTAGCTATAGATATTTGGAAGGTATAGTTGTATCTTCTCTGTTTCGAGAAACATAATAACCTTTAGTTGAATGTGCTGCATTCAGGACGTTTGGAAGCCCTGATGATTGAAGTACATTTCTTCAGGGAGGATAGCTCAAATATTTATTAGCTCCTTCCACAAACATGAATTCAGTGTCAAGTGTGTGCCAGGCGTCGAGCTGGTCTGGCACTAGGCTTGCAGGCCTGAGGGGGAGAGAGCCCCGAGCTGCTGCTTATGCTCTCAGTCCTGCATGGACACGGACGCTGATTCTCTGAAGCACTAGAAGGATAAAAGCCCCGAGGAGTCCATTCTTCGCTCTCACGATTGACGCCATCAAGCAGAGCAGGTGGGGAAGCTTGCAAGCAAAGAAAAGAGAAAAATAGGTACAGAGGGAGAAGGAGGCAGCGCGAATAGCAAAATGTACAGAATGTGAAGTTAATGTTTTAAAATTCCAGTCCAGTGCCTGAGAACCGGCCACGGGGACCTGAGCAGGCTACGGAATCTCGCCAAACCTCAATTCTGTGCTCTCCAACGCAGAGGAAGCAGCACCTACTGCCCAGGATTGCAGTGAGGGTTAAAAATAAACCCCACACAGTCAGTGATAGCCGCCCTGGTTATTGATCCTGGCCACAGCCCCTCAGCGGGATGCCGAGGCTTCACGGGGCTCAGCCTGGCCAGAACCAGAAGACAGAGGTCCCTGCAAGCCACGTTCAGGACTTTGAGCTGTATCTCAGGGACGCTGGAGTCTTGTTCAAGCATTTCAGTGGGGCGCTGACATAATTAGATTTCGGTTTAAGAAGATCTCTCTGACAGCAGGATGAGAGTGGATGGGAGAGCAGGAAAGACTGGGAACAAAAAAACATGCAAACATTCTTCCCACTACAGTAATCCTTCCTCTCCCCAATGATGCCATCAGAGAAGCGGATACGATCCTATTTATTGGTAGCTACCAAAAGGAAAAAAGAAACTGTGACTTGATCAACAAACATAGGAACAGTTACATTCCCAGACCACAATACCAGAATTGTAAACAAGAAGACCTTCAAGCTTGTTGGCAGACTTGGTTGAACTGGGGATTTTATAGTCAAACATAGTATCAAAGAGCCCCTAAAGCTTTCAACCTCATCCTCAGACCTTTTTACTTTTTAAATTAGAGGTTCTTGGCCTGGGGTTCAGCCGTGGATGGGCTTCAGGCAATCTGTAGACTCCCTGATCTCAAAGACCGAATTATAAGCATACTTTTTCCATGTGGGGAGTGACCACATCTCATTCATCAGATGCTGGCTTGCTGGATCTAGAACCCCAGAAAAGGTGAAGAACCACTATGTATATCTGTATGTAGATATACATAGCTTCAACCCAACATCTTTGCTTGGATGTGTAATGGGCATCCCAGACTTAACGTAATGCATCCCAAGCTAAACAGATGTTCTGCTCCGACCCCTCCCTTACCTTCCCCAACTGCCTTCTTCTACCTGCTCAAGCCAAAATCCTGGGGATCTTTTTATTTCCATGCTCTGCATCCACCCCTTGGGGCTGTCACTCTATCTTCAAACCCCCAACTGCCACCACCCACCACCCTGGTCCATTTCCCCATTGTCCTTCCCCAGTATGTTTCAATGCCTCTACCCTGCCTCCCTGCTTCTGCCCTTATCCCTTTTCCATCTATTCCTTACAGAAACTAAAGCAACACTTGCCCACACCCTCCAGTAGCCTTCCTTCTACCTCTGAATAAAATCTAAAGTTCTTATTTGCCCTCCAAGGCTTTGCGTGACTTAATGTGACTTGGCACCTATGATGTCCCTGATGGTTTGGCTCACCCTGTGCCCACTCTCCATGCTGACTCAAACCCGCCACCTCAGGGCCTTTGCACATACAGTGTCCCCTGCTTGGAAGGCTCTGCCTGCAGCTGTCCATGACTTGCTCTCTCTCCTCCTTCCAGTCGTTGTTCAAGTCATCTCAGACCACCGGTTTAATATTGCAATACCTTCCCCGACCCCAATCCAGAATATTCTCCTGGGCTGCTTTATTTCTCTTCTATACTTATCACTGATATATTACACTTATTTGCTTATTGTCCTACCCCCCAATGTAATATAAGCTTCATGAGAACAGGGAATTTTTTGTTGTCTGGTTTCTTTTACTATTCTATCTCGAGTGCCTATCACAGTTCTTGACACATAGCAGGAAGTCCGTTGTCTTGATTGAATGAATTTTATTTTGAGAATTTATTTGGTACCTTTGCAGTTACCATGCCATGTGTCCTTCTCCCTGTAACTTTCTGTATATCATATCCATAATTACGTCAGATTGTTTGAGTGCATTCTATTTCTTTTCGACTTCCCCTCTTTACTTAAAATAGTGATGGAGGCAATGATGATTATTGATCTCATGGTTCCTAAATTCCCCATGTTAACCTGAATTCTGTTTCCAGCAGCCACTTGGCCACTGAAAGAGCTCCTCTCCGTACACTTCTTACGGGCTCCTCAAATTCCACACCATCCTTCATGACTTAATGAAGAAATTCCTTTAAGGTTACTATTAGTGTAATTTGGAAACCTGTCATGTTAGTCCGACATTACAATTCCTAGGCTGTCACAACACTTCTCAGAGTGCAGCGTACCTTGCAGGTGGACGAGAGAGCTACATTCATTAGCGATAGCTTTATGCTTGATTGCATGCTTGTGGCTCTGTGCTGGGAATATCAGAGACATTTTTTTTTTAAAGGTTTTATTTATTTATTTGACAGGAAGAGAGAAAGCACAAGCAGGGAGAGCAGCAGGTAGAGGGAGAGGGAGAAGCAGGCTCCCCGCCGAGCAGGGAGCCAGACGCGGGGCTCGATCCCAGGACCCTGGGATCATGACCTGAGCCGAAGGCAGACGCTTCACCCACTGAGCCACCCAGGCGCCCCAGAGACATTTTTATAAACGGAATGTGCTAATGTGTCTGTCTTCTGTTTGGAATTTGTGATACTGGTTATTCCTAAAGCAGAAAACACCTGGGCGTCACCTTAAAAGTCTGGTTTTGTTTGCCTGAGCTCCGGGGAAGAGCAGTAATGGCTCGAGCCGAGGCCTTTCTAATGCCAGTTCAGGTGGCAAGACTTCGTTTCGAGGATGCGAATTTTTAACATGTACGTGTTTATCTTACACCGTTTCAGGCTTTACAAGACGAACTAGAAAACCGCGCTAACCAGGTGCGATGCGCAGAGAAGAAACTACAGCACAAGGAACTAGAGTCACAGGAACAGGTAGGCACTCCCCGCTGCCGCTGGGCCGGTTGGCCGGCTTCCTGTCCCCAGGCCAAGCCGCTTCCTTACTTCCCGTTGCCCCTGGGGTGCGCCGGCTGCGAGGAGCAGAATACCCCACCCCTAGTTGGCGGAAGCGGCGTGGGGACCGATTAGCTCCCACGACCGAAGTCTGCAGGTAGGGCAGGCTCTGCTTCTCTGCCATTCCCGTGGCTCCCCCTCCCATGATGGCTTCATCCCAAACGCAATCCAAGAGGACCACTGCAGCTCCAGGCATACCGTGCAGACCTGGCAGTGTCCAGAATGCCCTTCTGAAGAGTAAGAAGACCTTTCCCAGAACCGCCGCCGCCCCCCTCCATGCCTCCCTTCACATCTCATTGGCCAGAACCGGTCATGTGCTCAGCCTGGCCTGTCCAGGCCCTGGCAAGAGGACTCAGAGGCCCAAGCTAGCCTAGACCGATCGGGAGGCACCTGCTGGTGAGGGACTAGGAGAGGAAGGATGGCCTGGACCGAGAAGGGGGGAAATGGATGCTGAGTGTGCAGCCGGCAGTGGCTGCCACGTCATCACACTCAGATGTATGGACATTCTCGTACTCACGTAAATCAGATTTTCTTTTGAGCTTTACTTTTCCCCCTCTTTGCATTATGTTGATGAAATAAGTCTAAAATAACCAGAATAATCTGGCTATGACAGTAGCTAATGACCTATTTTATTTTCAAATGACAGGATTATTTTCATCCAGTACTTCTGGTTATACTGAATTATTCTTTGTGGTAATTTTGACAGCTTAAACTAAAAAGTCAACAACGTTATCAATAGAGATTGTGAGTCTTGATGAAACCTTTGATAAACGCATTTTCCCCAGCCATTGGATAGAGGATTGCTAACGTTCTCCTAAGTGCCACCAGCCTTTGTGCCCAGAAAGTGCCATAGGTATTGACAGATTCTCACACTTCAGTTGTCTCGTAGAAGCATTAGCTTAGATAATTAAGACCTTGTGGGAAGAGTAAACACTGAAGTACGGCTGAGAGGGAAGCTTTATTCATCTTTGCAGATGTTTACAAACAGGAACCGAGGTAGGGGATTGCACAAAATGGCAAACGTGAGCACCTAGTAGATGCTGAATATTACCGCTTAGTGCATTGACTTGACCTCCTATAATTCCTTCCTACTCTCTGATCTGTCCTGTGTAACATATATGCCATGTATCTATGTATATATCATGTCTTATACAATGTGCATAAGTATGTATGTATGTATGTGCACATACATGGATATATATGAATTTCCTAGAGTCTAATGTACAGTCAATAACAGGATCACAATGTAAGATGATACTAGGATGAAACATTTAATAATAACTACACTTGATCAAAGGTGTGAAGGTGACAGACACTGTCTGAGACACGATACACACGGTAGTTCCCTTGTCGTGATAATAACCACATAGGGCCAGGACTATCATCCCCGTTTCACCGAGGGCACGCTAAAACCCGGAGAAGCTGAGTAACTCGTCCAAGCTCACACAAGTAGTGACTAGTAGAGGCAGATTCGAAGCCAGATGTATCAGAATCCTGAACCCTTCCTCCTTCCATGACATTTCTGGTGAATAAAAAGGCTGCACAGCAGTGACGAACGGTTGCAGATACCTGGTACGGTGGCAAATGCCGCTAACCCTCCGTGGGCCGAGCGCGGCAAAGAGAGAAGGCGACCAAAGCTGAGCAGATTTGGCTGCAGATGACGATGGCTCATGGGACGGCGGCGTAGTGTTCAGCTGCATCCCCCATAGGCCTGCTCGCCGCAGAAGGGCGGCTGAGCTCACTCCGCCTGAGATGCTCAGAACTAGAAGACCAGCTGCTTAAAGGCAGGAAATGGTGCTCCCTCCTGGGGCTCCTCCAATTTGTGATAAAATATGACTTAAGGTAAAACTTTGTTGACATCACTCTAATTCGTGGCAAAACTTCACACAGAAAATTCCATAATATATTGAGAGTAGGGAAATTAAGAAATCCCAAATGAACAATAGGGAAGGATTCAGGGGCCATTTTCTGTCTTTTTTTATTGACTTCTTTTTGATCATCAAAGTTGCTTTCATCTTTGTAGTGACAATGGCTTTTTAGACTATTTCTTGCACTAATTCCTGATATCTTCTGTTAGGGCTACAGTTTACCAAAGAAATGTCAGGAAATACCCATGGGTAAAACTGAGTATTTCGTAATCATTGCAACCATAAAATGTTGAATTCTTTCCACAAGATCCTAGGGTGTGGCTAGGATTCGATGCCAATTGTTTCAACAAAACTCAAGAGCAAATAATGGGCACATAATAAATCCTATTCCTCTATCTTTCCCTTAATTTAATTTTGGTTTTATCTAAATTTGACCCATGGCCCCCTTTCAACTTGTGACACTAATGGGAATAGTCAAAAATAATTACAAGTATCGCCATGGACATTTTGTAGGGTCTCCTTATAGATGAGCTTACTTAGGATATTTCAAATGTCGAAATTGTTGTGTAGGGTTTTCTTTTTTGCATCTGTCAAAGCAACTGTAGGACCAGTAGCCAGCCTGACATCAGCCTCTCAAATAATCAAAACAACTTCTTGGAAATTTCTTCTCTTTCTTTTCAACCAAATATTATTATCCTGATACTCGTTGCACAAAGAATCAAAATTGAGACTGGCAGAATTACAAAAGACAATTTCCTGGCCTTCCTTTTTTAACTTGCTTGCTTTAAAAAAAAAAAAAAGTTTAAACTGTTTCTGCTTTTCATTTAAGAAAAATTCCTGTGTTTTGAGTCTATAAAAACAAAAAATGAATGAGGCATTTTAAAAGTTATGTTTTTAATTAAAAACAAAAAGCTGCTTCTCATCAGGTCTTGATGGGTGGTATTCTTGCTGTCCACCCCTTGCCTGTGCGCCATCACCTCTCCCCTCACCCCAGGGGCTGCAGTCAAGGAGTCACCAAAGAAGGCTTGTTCACCCATAGTTCCAAAGGGTTAATGTGCTCTGATGCACCTTCAAGATAACACAAATAAAATGAGAAGAATACTAATTTTCTAAGTCAGCCCTATAGAAGCACGTTTCCTATAATCCACAAATAACAAAGTAATTTAAAAATCATCCTTATTTTTCTCCATACCAGGAGTTAATAAATTTCGAATTCTAGATTAGATCAAGCAAGAATCCCGTAAGTGCAGCAAGAAAAAGGGATCAGAGCTCTGAGCGAACTTCCTCATTGTGCAAGGAAACGAAGCCATCAGAAAAGGAAGGGAATCCCTAACGTGGTAGTGGTGGGCCCAGGGTAGGACTGCTCCTACCTATCCAGCTCACTTGCAGGAAATTATTTTCCGTTATATGGAGCACTCTGTAAAATGGATAAATGCCACGCAACTCTTAGGTTCAGATATGTGTAAAACTAAATCTCATTCATGGGAGCAAACAAGATTTCATTGTTTGCAATGAGACTAAGTAATTTTCTAGCCCTGGCCAAGATAATTTGGTCTGATAAGTTACAGAAAAGAGAAGGAAGAAAAGAAATAGTCTAACATTTTACTTGGTATTTTTAACACTATACAAAGCAATATTTATCACAAAGTCCCCAAACAATGTCTGATAATAACATACATGGGACAAAATCCCTCCTTTGAGCTGAGTATCTTAAGTTTTGAAAGTATGAGTAGCTCTGATTACATTGGTCACACAGTTTCTCAGCAGATGATTTTAAATAAGTTAGTAAAAAAAAACAATACCTTCAAGATCCAATAAATAAAATATAATGCTGCGCATTTCACTCGCAGGGTCCTACTTTTTTTTTTGCACAAAGTCTCATTCTTTTGATAGGCATATTGTGCCAGGCAGTGATCGGTACTGAGAAGACACGAAGATGAATAAGTCATGGTTCTTGTCCTCAAGGAGCTTACAGTCAAGTAGAGTAGAGAACATATGTGTAAAAGGGACTTCAGGCATGGAATATAAAGGAGGTTTTTTTTTTCTTCTAACTGGCATAGAGGTTCAAACTCACAAGATGCAGAAAGAACATGCACGTTGGTACTGCTGTCCATCTTCCCCAAGGGGAAGGGACGGAAAGATCTCTAGCTGGTAACAGGGTAGGGTCCACCTCCCCAGGTAGGCCGTGGTTTCAGGAGCCTGTGGCCTTCAGGGGAACCAGGTCCTTGCTGAATGGTCGGGACTGGGGAGGCGAGAGGGAGCAGTACTTCTGCCAGCTTCTTGTGGAGCACATGGGCCCCTACCACATCTTGTTGCCTGGGACTGCCCCTGGAGAGCCTGTCTGGTTTTATGGCTAGCATTTTGGGGCAGCCAGCTGGTTTAGTTCCTAGTCATATCTGGTGTGCCCAGGCATGAAGGGTCTGGACTGCGCTGACACAAGTAATTCATAAATTGTCTTAAAATATAGAGTGAAGGCAACCTGCTGAATGGGAAAAGCTATTTGCAAATGATATATCCTATAATGGCTAACATCCAAAATATATAAAGAACTTATACGACTCAACACCAAAATAACCCAAGCGATCCGATTAAAAAATGGGCACAGGACCTGAATAGACATTTCTCCAAAGAAGACATCCAGATGGCCATCAGACACATGAAAAGATGCTCAACATCACTCATCATCAGGGAACTGCAAATCAGACCACAATAAGATATTACCTCACACCTGTCAGAATGGCTGGAAGCAAAAAGACAAGAAATAACAGGTGTGGCAAGGATGTGGAGAAAAAGGAACCCTCGTGCACTGTTGGTGGGAACGTAAACTGGTGCAGCCACTCAGGAGAACAGTGTGGAGGTTCCTCAGACAATTAAAAATAGAATTACCATATAATGCAGTAATTCTACTTCTGGGTATTTACCTAAAGAAAACAAAAATACTAATTCAAAAAGATAAATGCCCCCCTATGTTTACTGCAGCATTATTTACAATAGCCAAGATATGGGAGCGACCTAAGTGTCAATCAGTAGAAGAATGGATAAGGAAAATATGAC